GAGTGTCCCTTATTTTGCTTTTGACAGAGCAGCTGTCTCTTCTCCTGTCTGAAGAAAATAGCTCTTGCCCTGATTAATAAACATGCAGTGAAGCCACCTGAACATTTAGGGGGAATATCTTTTTTGCACTTCCCCACCTGCATCCCCGCTGCTTAAAAACACCACTGAGCTGCATCCTGTCCTTCCCCTTCCCTATGCATTTGAAACAGCTCTCCCTGGGTAGCTGCAAACTCCTCTCTTTTCAGCAGATGAATAAAACATCACGGCCTTACGTCACTGTAAAACCTGCCTGGCTGTGCTTTTTTAATCCTCTGCTTATTTATTTACTTATCTGTGACGTGCGTCACTAATAAAATTTAAATGTTATGTTAAAGACTGATGTTAGGAAGGTTTGGTTTTTTCCCCCCTTATTGACTGGCTTCTGGATACCACAGGGAAATATTACAGCATATATTTTATTATTCAGGATGATGCTGACGTAGAAGTTCCCTGATTCATCTTTCACCGTTTCTCTGACACTCAAGAAATTTCTTGCCTGCAGCCAGTGTGATAAACCTTAAAGAGTTATTGTTACAATGTATGTGATTATAGAAATACATTATTATAAACCAGTGATGTTTTTTGGTTAGATAACCTAACTAATGGTGCCAGAGTGAGTGAGTCTGTGCTCCTAGGCATTGAAATATTGAACATTGGAATTTGGAAAGGGAGAGTTTTTATTACTGTTTCATTACCACTGTACCTCAGATGTGAGGAATGAGTCACAATGAGTTTCTTAGGATGTGCTTGTTTTTGTCAACAAAAGCAAAACATGGTTCATCATGGCAAAGGTAGACTGACCCAAAGGCCTTAGTCCCTGTTTGAGAGCAGGGTGATGAATCTGATAGATAGCTGATACATGCTTTAATAAGGATGTACAGCTAATGTCAGATGGAATCTCCTCTGGTTGCTGAATTCAGGAAGTACATGTGTTGTTAATGGTTTGGGTTAGAGTGCTTTTATTTTTGGCTGAAGGTTTGTAAACGTTTTGATGGAAATTTTCTCTCTTGTGCCATCCAAATTTCATCACCAGGTGCGCTTGACTTCTTTTTGCGAGTGTCTAAGTCATGAAAAAATTCGGAGAATGAGCTTCTGATCATATGGAAATCAATGAAAATGTCCTGTTGCCTGCAAGGATACAGATGTTTCACTTGTATGCATCTCCATATCTTACATCAAGTAATCACAGGTTTTGTTCAGCCATTTACTGTAGTTTTCTTGTCCCTGGATTTTTACTGTTTCTTTGTCATTCTGCCCATTTGGTCTGTCCTAAAAGTAGGTTTATATATTTTATGGCATGTCCTGTGTCTTTTCAGGGACATTCTAGTCCAGCTTTGTCCCAGATAATGTAAAATTTAGGTAGGAGATCCAGTTTCAAAAACAACCTCAATTAGTAGAAGTCCAGGCTATACACCTTCCAACATGCAGGGAGGAAAAATCTTACTGAGACACATAGAGCTGCAAAAAAAGTAATGATGCTGTCCAGATTTGGGTCTGACCCCTCAAGGCCTTCCAAAACATAGTTTGTGTTGCTTTTGACACTGTAAAAAAGTGAGTATGTGTGTGGCAAAAGGCAGGTTTTGGCCCTAAATATATCAAGGTCATTTACCAAAAGGGTGGTGTTAACTCCTTTGGGAGATGCAGGCATGAGCCAACACAGGAGGGACAAGGCAGAGCAGCTGGTGGCTAGGCTGAGGGATCTTGCCTTGCTTCCAAAGTATTTTGGCCACAGAGGAAAATTCCCAGATTACTGTACCAACATTAGGGCGGAGGCAATTGGAGCACAGCCCTTTTTGCTGAGTGCAGCCCTGCTCTTTGTGTATGTATTAAGTTGTGGGGTTTATTAATGTTAGACTTCGAAAACACTTGGCCTGGCAATGTGTTTTTGTAAGCTGTGGAGACATTTAAACTGAGGCCAAGCAAACAAGTGAAGTGCAATGAGAGTTTTGTTGGACCAGGTCCAATTTGATAAGAAGAATGAGATGACTAAGCATGTACTGAGCTTTAATGCTACTCAGTGCATCATCATTTCAGTTGTGTCAATGTTTCCATTATAAATACCTCTTCTCAGGGGAACTCAGCTACACATCTCGTTTGGGGCTGGAAAATTCCATTTAGAGAATGTTATTAATTATTTAAAAATACACATTTGCTTTTTAGGTCAAGATTTTTGAAGTAGTGATGTGCAGTGCTCAGCTGGAGACAATTCAGAGGCCTGGTATTCAGGTGGTCACTAATGAGAAAAATAATCTTCCCTCTCTGCCGTTCCCATTTTCAGATGCAGCTGCTCTAGTTAAATTTCTGGAGTATTCGTAACTGTGTTCTATTTTTTCTTCCTCACTTCTTGATCATGACCAGAACCTCGAGATGGGTGGCTTGATTTACTTTTCATTAAGAAATAAAAGGCCTAAGATCAGAATGTGGCTTGGAGTAATATTTGAACTTACTGTATAAAATGAATGGGGATCACTCTCATGTCCCTTCTGCTGCCATTTGCCACTTCTGCCTGACTCTGCTAAGGCAGTGGTGTTTGTTTTGTTAGCTGTGTCCACTTGACATGAGTTGTGCCAAACACCAGGGTCTCCCAAGCCTCGTGCAGGTTGGTCAAGGCTTGTGTTGTTCTTCCAGATCTGTGTGTATGTCCATGTGCTCCCTCACAAAGGGTGACTGCCCACAGACAGCACTGCCAGCACTGAGGTTTTGTACCTTCTCACCTCTTTGTGTTCCAGACCAAAAGGACAAGCCCAAGAAGGGAGGGGAATTGCATAAGTGCTTGTTTCTGGCAGCACAGCATGTAGCTGGGCACGTGGCAGGCACAGCTAAATACCAGTGTCTGGTCAAACCATTACAGCTGGTTAGGTTACCACGTCGTATGTAACTGGAGAACCATTTCTCTGGCTCTGGGTGAGCAGGAAACCCCCTGGCAGACAGTGGCACTGTGGGATAAGCTACAAAGAACCCAGTGGAACTGATTTTATGACACGCATCACATATTTTTCCCAAGCAGTGCAGAAAGGCTGTAACTCCAAACCATCAGAAACAGCCCAGGCAGTGGTTCTTTGTGTGCAGCAGAAGCAGATTAGCAGATGGCATTTTCTGTCCTTAATCTACAAAGCACATTGAAAATTCAGAAACAGATCTAAGTGCCTTTAAAAAGACAATATTGTGCCTGGTAAAGCGTCTGTCTCTTTGCTCAATGGCATTTACTTAAAAGAAAGTGCTAGAAGAAGTCATTAGCCAATATTTTTAGGAGCAGCCACATCCAAAAGTTCAATACACTAGAAAAAGTTCAGGGTAGCTGTAAAAGAAATATTTGCAGCTTGACAGATGAGTCTGTAGGATGCTATTTTGCAGTGAGCTTTGAGACCAGAGTAGCAGTAGTAGTTGCTTTCATGTCCCATACTGTGAACTCGATGCCCAAGCACTGACACACAGCTGTCTCCCTGCTTTTTTTATGGCTTCAACAGTCTAATATAAAACTAGTGGTGAGATTTTATCAATTCTGATAATAAAAATAACACATGGGTTTTGCAGTGTGCTTTTCTTGTCTTGTGTGCGTTCTGGAAATTTGTCTGTAGCGGTATCCTTTACGAACTGTGGTCAGGGAGAATTTTGAGGCTACTGAAAGTAAAAGATGGGTACTGCATGATTTGTTTCTTTCAGTAGTTGAATTAGACTGATACATTTTCCAAATCTAGCAATTTCCTGTATTTCAAGGTAATACCTAACAGAAAATGCAATGTATTGCTCATCATGGGCAGTGTGCTATGAGAAGCCCGGTGCCAGGGAAGTGCAGGATGTCACTCCTTGGAATGTCAAGGGGTTGATAGGCAAGACCTGTCTCAGCTTGAGAGCCAAGAGGAAGCTTGAGTCAAGACAGCTGAGGGCAACCCCATGCACAAGGGATGAGATGTAAAGTTAGCTCAGAGCAGGTGGGAAATGTTGCTATCCTTTGTTGATGGGAGCAGGTCAATGTGCTGAGAAGTCCTGAGATCACAATCCCTTTCTTCCTTCTGGTCTTGGTACCTTTGACTCTCAGTCACACAAGATGGTCACACAGAATGGTGAAGAACACAATGTAAAATGCTGTTGCAGTTTATTATGCTGCTGATTTGTAAACTAGAATCCTTTATTGTCTCAAACAGCAAAAAGCCATTTGAATCAGAATCATGAAGCTAAGGCTATCTAAACCCTTACAAGCTTGTCTCCTCTAAATTTGAAACAGCATTTCTCATTTTGACTCACAGTCTATGCAGGGAACTTCTTTAGTTATTCCTGAGAATAATTATCTATATTTAGGAGGCAAGTCTTTGATTTTCCTATGAAATAGGAACTGGTTTTGGAATTGGAATGGCAAGTCTCTGACATTTTGCTTCAAGGACATTTCAGTCTCAGTTTTTCCAGATGTAACCCAATGCACTCAGAGTTGGAGAAAATTTATTTTTATCTTTAGTACCAGTGGTTTAGCTAGTCAATGCAGGTTTCAAATTGCTTTATTCTTGCAAATGTTCAGCAGGACTAGATGGCTCGAACTCTTCTCATTTTGATTTAGGTGGGTTGTTCTTTAACTCAGCAATATAATAAAAATTGTCAGCTGCTTGATGATTTGTCTTCAGATGACCAGTTTGGGATTAGTCCTATAATATGTTAAAAGAAAGTATTCTTATGTTATAAATCGTATAAAGATGTCTTTGTGGTGCTAGGCCTGTTTGCAGTGAAAATTGTCAGCATCCATTATGTGCTTTATTGCTTAGATAAATGCATTATTTAGGACTGTAACATGGTTCTTGTGGTTTGAGAGTACGTTTATTTAAGTGGTGCATGTGGAGCTGTAACTCCTGACAGAGACTTCTTGCCTAAGCAAGGCATCAGGGGAAGTAGTTGCAGGACTGAGTACTGAGCTGATCATACAAATCAAAATGAAGAACTCCTCATGAGAACTTTTTTTATTTCTTTCTCAGGAAGTGCATGAGAGGTAATACTGTGTGAGATTGGTGTCTGAAGCAGTGGAGCAGGAACTGACATTCAGCAGAGACAAATGCAGGGTCCTGCACCTGTGGAGGAACAACTCCAGGCACCAGCAGAGGCTGGGGACCGATCTGCTGGGGAGCAGCTCTGTGGAGAAGGACCTGGAGGTCCTGGAGGACAGCAGGAGCCAGCAGTGCCCGCGTGGCCAAGAAAACCAAAGGTATCCTGGGGTGCATTAGGAAGAGCAGTGCCAGCGGGTCAAGGTGCGTGATCCTGCCCCTCTGCTCAGCCCTGGTGAGGCACATCTGGAGTGCTGTGTCCAGTTCTGGGCTCCTCAGTACAAGAGAGACACAGAGCTCCTGGAGCAGGTCCAGTGGAGGGCTATGAAGATGATCAAGGGACTGGTGCATCTCCCTTCTGAGGAAAGGCTGAGGGAGCTGGGCCTGCTCTGCTTCAAGAAGAGATGGTGGAGAGGGGACATTATCAATGCCTGTCAGTATCTGAAGGGAGAGTGCCAAGAGGAAGGATTCAGGCTTTTCTTTTACCAAGCAACAGAACAGGAGGCAATAGGCAGAAATTGATGCACAGGACATTCCACTTGAATATGAAGGAGAACTTTACTGTGCAGGTGACCATGCACTGGAACAGGTTGTCCAGAGAGGCTGTGGAGTCTCCCTCACTGAAGATATTGAAAAACCTTGACACAATCCTGTGCCATCTGCTCTGGGATGACCCTGCTTGAGCAGAGAAGTTCAGCCAGATGACCCACTGTAGTCCTCTCCAGCCTGACCCATTCTGTGTGATTTTTGTGACCCTAAACAAAACAAGACCATGTGCATATAAAGTGGTGTTCCTGTGGTTTTCACTTGGCTGCTGAAGCAGATAACTAACTTCTCCAGAGAGCTGGGAGTCTGGGGTTGCCTCTGGTGGGCTTGCAGCACTGGAGAGGTTTTAGGAAAAGAAAAAGGCAGCCCTAAGGAATTGTCTCCAGAGAGCAAGGTGTTCACAGTACCCTGAGAAAGGCTAAAACAACCATGTATGCAATATCAAATAGTCAAGTCTAAGTGAACTTAATCTAGGAGACAAGTGGGAATGGTGGAGTCCTGATCTTGTCATTCAAGAGTAAAGACATCACAAAAAGGTAGGCAGAGATATACCCAAACTGTGGGCAGCAGAGTGAGAGGTGTGGGAGCTGATTCTGTTTTATTTCAAATGCAAGGAGTATGCCCTACAGAGGGTAACACAGAGCACCAGGGTCTCTTTCAGTACTCTGTGGCCCCAGCAGCCCTAATAAACAATGACTATAGGCTGGCAAGGTGTGACCAAGGACAGTAGCCACCCTGCAGGATGGAGAAGCAGCAGAGACCCCCATGGGTCAGCAGCAGAGAGCATCCATGGGATTCCAAGGGGGAAAGGCTTTTGGGAAGAGCTTAGAAAATCTCCAATTTGCTAAATTTTACAAATTACTGGATCTGTTCAGTGTCTCGTTTCCCTTCTGTTTAATGAAGGGAAAGATGCACATTTTGGCATGTTCCTGTCATGTGTTTTTGATAGATATGAATCTTTAAAAATGACTGGAAAGGGAAGGGAGATTAGAAAAACCAGCTGGGAATTAATTCTGTGTTCTGTTTCTGCTTTCTGTCACTGGCTTTTCTATGACCCCAAATGAATAATTTCATATGTAATTTCCATAAAAATAAGTAGGAGAAGTCAGACCCTCATTGCTCAGAGTTAATGTGAGAGTAATGCTGTCCTTCCACACTATTTAGCTTAGTCATGCCTCGGGGCAGGCAGGGACCATCTCACAGAACATGTTTGTCAAGGGTACTCTTATGTGTTTTTAGTGTCCTGGATGTGGTCTGGAGGCTGGAGAGCATGCTGCAACAAAAAAACCCTTTATTAATAATACAAAGGAGTTCTGCTGCAATGAAAGAATTCATTAAAGATTAAGCTGGTATTAGTGAAGAGGGTGTGTCTGTGCTTTAAGTGCAGTATTCATGGAGACCCTCTCCCCAGAAATACATGTTAATTATTCCTAACTTTTCTCAGAGGCTTGTTTTGCTGTCTCGTGATAAAATCTCAAGGTCAGGAAGGAAGACACTTTTAATGATGCTCATACAGTTGGCATTGTAAAATTTTATTTTTAAGTGAGGTGGTGCTAGAGGAAAGGGTGATAAATTTTAATTTCTATTAAATACTGGTGCACTGGCTATAACTATCTAGTAGCACTTGCACAACACTGTTGACAGGCTTGCTAATGGATTAAAGGGAGCTGATGTCATGCTAGCTACAGAGTGGAAATGTAAGCAGAACTTGTAGTTTTCTTGTCCAGTATAGTGGGGAGTGCAGACCAATTGCCAAAAATTCTGAAGAAACCTGAACAGTTCATTACTCTGATCGTGTTTCACTCCCTCATTTTTCAGCTTCAGGACTATAGGGCCTGCTCCAGTGGAGAACAAAAGGAGCATGAGAGCTGATGGCTGCATCAGAGGTGCCCAGGCAGGTGTGTAAAGTTAAATCCAGAGGAAACAGCCATGGGAAACAAGGGTAAATAAGATTTCAAGGAAAGGAGTGCAGCTGGAGGTATGCTGGGAGTGGGCAGCTTGAGGAAGGTAAAAGTGAACTGCAAGTCGTGAGCTTTGAGACAGGGAGTGACTTCCATGGGCTGTTTCAGCACACCCAAGTGGTGGGAGCTGCCAGGGGGCACATCCAGGACAGAAATTCCTGGGAGCTGCAAGTATTTGTGCTGTGTCTTTTCAAGAGCAATAAGCTGTTTAGGTTTTGGTTTTTATGGTGTGTTTCTTTGGTTTATGTTGTGTGACCCCCTCACCTTTTAATTTTTTTTTTCCTTCTGAATTCAGTAATGTATAGAAGGGAATTAAACTCCCTTGCAAAGAAGCACAGGACTTGGAGATGCAGGACATTGGTTTTGCTGGCTATTATAAACTCTTTTCTGGGTGACCTGGGCCAGGTGAGTTTTTGGGGTGTGTGCCTTTTCTTGCTTATGGGGATAGCAGCATGACTTAGATTTCTGGAGCAGGTTAAACTCTGGTATTTGGGACATACTGTACTAGTGATGAATGAGTCCTTTCCCAACAAACTTTAATTCTCTTAGATGTCAACTATCCATTTTTTAATGGCCAAGAGGCTGTCTGAGAAGTATTATGATGCTGATTTGGACCACTTGACAAATCAGAGTGTTTGGGTTTTCCATTAATAAGACAGAAAAAAATGTAGGTCTGTCAGATGATTGTGGTGCTTAGATAATCTCTTCCTTTGCTGTTTGTCAGAGCAGTGTTATAATTAGTCCTTTGCATTTTTCTCATTTAATTCATCCCTCACTGCATGCATCTTATCATGCACTATCATGAAGCAAGTTGAAACATTAATTAATTTGAGCCATTTCAGAGAGCTGAAGGACTCATTTAGCTGTCTGTTCCCTTTGAATTCAGAGGCCAAGCAGATAGCAGCTACTTGCTGCCTTCAAGTGAGAGCGGTCTCTGGCAAAATTCTTCACCTCAAGTGAACTTGCAGACATGTGATTTCTTGACTGGCACCTGCCATTTAATACCTAAGTTCTCCATGTAGAAATGCAGAAGAATTCACTATGTATCCTGAATTGTGTATGGATAGGGATCTGTGTCTGTGGATCCTACTTACACTCCCTTAACATGGTTTATAATTCAGGTATGGATACAGTGTTTTTAAACAAGTTTTAAAACAAGTGTTTAAAAAACCCCTTTATGGTGTGTTTTACTGTAATTTCTTTATTTGGTCCTGAGTATCTTCTTACAAGTATTTCTGTGGGCATGCAAAGAGTACCTGCTGTTCCTTGCAAGACTGGTTTCCAGTCCTGCTTGCATTATGGATAAAATCCTTGTTTCAGTCAGGAAAGCATCCTGCTGCAGATATTGGTCTCTGTGCTAAATACTGGCTTACAAGCAATCAATGCAGTATGGAAAACTGAGGTGTAATACTAATTTTCAAACCAAGGCAAAATTGACACTGTAATCTGAAACGTTAAGGTCGAAGGCAGGCTGGGTCATCAGGAATTAATGAAAACCAGAAACTGAGGAGGGGAAACTTTGAAAGACATTCAAACACATCAAAGAAAATCCAATCCTTCTGTCTTCCTTTTCAGACCTGAAGGCACACTCCAGCTCACTTGGCCTTCACCCTGGCCTAAAACTAGTGTACTCACAGCTGGCTATCAAAGCCATGCCAGTCCCAGTGTAACCTTTCCTCCTGTTTTTACACCATCCTAAAGAGCTGCAAGGTAAAAGGCACTGGACACTTTCCCCATGTTAATATTAATTTGGTTGTCCACTTCTGTTATTCATCTGTGGCTAGTTTCTCATGGCTGTTATATCCAACTCGACAAGTGCTGACATTTTTCTCCCATTCTTCAGACAGTGCTGTGAATGGATTTATGTAACTGTCTTTCCTGCTCTGTGTCTGATTTTATAGCTTGATGGATAGGTCAATTTTCAGAATCATGGGATCCACAGTGATGCTGCTTTTAGTTGCCATTTTTTTTTCAGGTCTCCTTGACAAAATGCAGGTGAGTGTTTTGCAGTCAAAAGGGTTTGGAAATTCTGCTGACTGATCACTTTTCAACAATTTGATTATTGCTAAATTCTGTGAGACTCCAGTGAAGTTAAAGGCAATGGAGAGTGTATTGTTATTGGAGCAGCTTTGTGTTTAGCATGATTTGCATTACACTTGACTGCTTTTCAAATATGGGCATCTGAAAAATACTCTGGGAAATTTCTAATTCCTCCTTCTGGGCTCTGGGAAGTGAATAAAGGTGAATCTCATGCACCTTGTGCCAGTGCTCTGTGCTACCCATGTGCTCATTGTCTGGAATAGTTTTGGATCCAAGTGTCAAAATCAATCCCCACAGAAATTTTCAGGGTCACTGGGAATTTTTCCTTGTTCTGGTAACTCTCATGGCTTGTAGCAGAACTGTTCACTGAGCCCTGCACTGCAAGGATAAGGTGTCCTGTGCATTAGGGAGTACATAAAGTGTTCAGCCAGGCAGTTCCCAGTGTGGCAGACAACATATAATCCACAATGAAACCACCCTCCCACCATGTTTTGTTCCTCTTCAGTTGTTTCTTACTGTCAGAATGAAATGTGGCATCCTAAAGTGAATCTAACACTGCAAATGAGGCTCAAACACCACTGAATGATCTCTCTTGATTCATACATTACACTCTCATTAATGCAATCTGGTGCAGCACTTGCATGTACTGGACAGGTTTGCTAAAGATGGATATTTACAGACCCTGCTTGCTTTAGTCCTCCTTTGCTGCTACAATAAAATAAAATGCAATTACTTCAGCAGTCCCTGTATTTTGAAGAAGTCATTAAATGTTAACCAGAATACTTTCTTTGCTGTCTTTAAGATCTGGGATAGTTTTGCCAAGGGAAGAATGCTGTTGTCTTTCTTCAGAGCTGTGGTTATACCTAAATAAAAGCACTAAAGATGAGATCCTTAAATTTGGGTACCAGAGTCAGTTTGAAATTTAAAGGATGGAACAGATGCCTCTTTTGATGGGAAGAAACAGCAAGTGCCTGGCCCTGAAACTGTGTGTTGCTGAACTCTAGGAAAGGCTTGTACATGGACGGAGCTGAATTTTGCAGCTCAGCCCTTCTTTATTCTGTACAGAGCTTCCTAACTAATCCGATGGCCAGCTTCTTAAAAATGTTCATAATTTGCTTTTGTACCTTCATTTGGAACTGTGAATGTGCAGTAAACAGCTTGACTGAGTCATTTGGGAAGCCAAATTTAAGTCCTTTAATCTTAGATTCTAAGGTTTGTCTTGCTCTTCTCCTCTGAGTTATTTGTCTGCTGTTCAAATGAAGCTTAAAGTCAGGGAGATCTTTGTGGATGTGAGTGAAGGGTCTGGATTCTGAAACACCTATGCAAGCTGCAGGGCAGACTTTATTCTGTCCATCAAGGACTCAGATTTTGACTTGCCTTATTTTTCTGGACTTTTTATTTAAAAAGCTGGTGTAGGTTTTCCCTTCACAGCACCCCATATGAGGAGAAACTCATAATAAGAAGGGCAAAATGTCCATGTATCAGTGCAAAACAAAACCTGAAGAGCTGTATCTGTGCTTTGTGGAAATAGCAGATGCCTTGCAAATGTGGATCCCAGTTTTGCACTTCTTTGGCATTCAACACCTGCCACTGTACTCTGGGAATGATTATAGTGCACTTTCAGATGCAGGAAACCTTTCAGGCTGCCTCTCTGATAGCACCAATCGAGTGATAAATATTCCATGCTGAAAATACTGTCGGTGCTTCTCATTCACCTTGCTTGCAGGAAGCAGATGGAGTAGTTAGTGCAGGTCTGGCATCCCTCTCTCCTTCTCATCAGCACCTTGTAGTTTTTAGCAGCTGCCAAAATAGTCAAAAGGTGAAAAGCTTGGTCAGAAAGAGTGAAATAGATAGGGTTGAGAGGCTGACAGAGGAGTCCTCTATATGACCACTACATTAATCAATCAAAGTGGCCATAAAACAATGAACAGGAACAATGTCTGCTTCTAAGTTACTCATTACCCATGGGTGTAAATTGTTTGCTTGTGGCTGCAGCACATGGCTGGGCAGTTGTGTTGTTTCCACAGGTGCAGTCAGGCTGTTGTATTACCCCACCAAATTGCCTGGCAGGGCCTCCAGTTTAATCATGGCAAGGAGAGCTGCAGTACCTGGAGTCTGCTATTCTGTTACCAGGCAGCTGGAGAAGGGCTTATAAGATGAAAGCTTGTAGTCAGTGAAGGAAATAGCAATTCTAAGCAAATATCATTTGCTTTGTTCCTATTGACTTTGTTGTCTTCAGTCCTGATGGCTTTTTAAGTTCTGCATTGCTTTTTCTCCTATCACTTACTCTGGTATCTTCCTTTAATAAATGAGAAAGGACAAACATACTTCCCAGTGGTTGCCTGCTTATATTTATTGCACTGAACTTGCCAGGCCTTGCAGCTGTGCTGCCTGTTACCCTGGCTGAGAGGGAAAGTCCCTGTGCAGAAGGGGACTGTGGACTCAGGTGGATCCTGCCTGTGCCACTGCTGCAGAAGGACAGAGTGGGAAACATGTTCAGCATGTGTAGAATCCAATTTAAGGAAGTGTACTGAAGTAGTTTTTGGATATGGTCTGGATTATTTTCCTAGTGTGTTGTTGTGGAAGTAGTACCTGAGACATTTCCCTCCAAGAGTCACACTGTGGTTTCAGGACTGGGATTAAGTGACCCACTGGGTCCCCTTTTTCCTCCCCTTTTTCCTCCCCTTTTTCCTCCCCTTTTTCCTCCCCTTTTTCCTCCCCTTTTTCCTCCCCTCTTTCCTCGAGGCCCTTTTCCCTCCCCTCCTCCTTTCTCTTCCTCTCCCCTTTCCCTTTCCTCTGCCCTCCCCTTTCTCTTCCCCTTCACTTCCTTTCCCTGTACAAGTAGTCATCAGTTCATTACTATGATGTGTAATAACTATGCTCTGAAAAATGGAAAAAAATTATGTGGAAAATACCAAAATTACTAGGAAGTGCTAAAAAAAATCACCAATTGAAACTATAAATCTAACATTAAATTTCTAAGGTTTATTCCTAAAATAAAAATTGTCTTTATAAACTATTTCCAGAGCATGAGTTCTTCATCTATCACATTGAGCAGTGAAACCATTTGAGATTATTGGAATGGGCAAGGTAGGAAACAGCTCCTCTGGAGCAAAGTAATCCTGTAGTACTGCTGCAGTCACCTGTCATGGATGGATGGAGAAGTCATCCCATCATCCAGTTTTTCAAACAGTCTGGAATAGATGTGTGAGTAGGTTCAAATTCTTCACAACCCTCTGCAAAATTTGAGAAATAATTTGTGTTAAGGTGATGATAAGTTCCATCTTTCATCCAGCTGGGTGACAATTGATTACAGAAATAATACAGCAACTTTTCCCAGTCCAACACATAGGTAGCCATGACCATGAAAAGATCTATAAAGGAGTTTTGCAATATAT